CACTGTTCATCTGAGAAAGCCAAGTCATGCCTGGCCTGTGTGACTCAATTGATTGAGTGCTGTCCCATGGACCAGAAGGTCATCAGTTCAGTTCCCGGTCAGGGCACATGCCTGGGTTTCGGGGTCCACCCCCAATAGGGGGTGTGCAGGAGGCGGCTAAACAATGTTTCTCTCTCACTTCCTCTCTCTAAAATCAATAAAAACATATTTAAAGGAAAAAAAAAGGAAGAAAGAAAGCTAAGTCATAACCATGGCTTTTATTTACTGACATCCTTAGGATGTAAATAAGTTTTCTCAAGAAGAAAATAAGAATAGAGACAATGTTCCCCTTTGTATTCTTAAAGCATATAAAATATGTAGTGTCTTCAGTTTCCCTCTTTTGGGGAGAAAGCTGTACGATGAAATGTGTCAGCCTCTGCCTTAGGCATCTAGTGCATACGAACTGAAACCATGCAGCTTTGCCACCTTTTGCAATAATACAAAGTTTAAAAGCTGCATTTTGGACTCTGCCATCTAATAAAAATCTATCTGTAGACTTTTGTGAATTTTTTTTTCCAGTGTTATGACTAAATTCAGCTACTGGTTTTATATTTTTCAGCTGGTGGTATGAGACATTTAATTTAATGACATCATTCTAAGTACGACCCAATTATAAATCCTTCAGTCTCAGCCAGACGATGAATTTCTTTCTAGTTGGCGGTTGGCAAATACCTGTTACACCGAATCAGTTCTCCATTTAAAACTCTAATCTCAAAGTATACTTTTTCTTTATATTAGAAGGTTGATTTTTATTTGCATTTGAAGGGATAGTTAATACAGTACATTTTCCTCTGTGTAACTGATGTATCCTAAAAGAAAGAAAGAAATACATACATGCCAAGGAAATGAGGTTTTAAGTCATGACCAAGTTATTGGAATATTAAGATCATTCAATACAAGAACCTACAGGAAACGTTTCCTCCAACTATTTTAAGCTGTAAAGAGACAGCCTGAACACACTTAGGAAGAGTGGCTTGAATTATTTTCATATTTCTTATGTAACTACTTAAGCTTTTTAAAGAGTACTGTCAGTCAGTGATCATTAGAAATACATCAGAATATACCCCAGACATTTCCTATTTTATTTTTTATTCTAATTAAATATTATTGCTTCATTGTACCCATGTTTAGATCTACTTCATTAAAGATAAGCTTTTGTTATAAACCGTTATTTGAGGCAAAAGACCTTTTAGGTCTGTTTGATTTTTATTTCATATTTAATAAACATTTTTACTGAAAGATTATTGATTTTTTAAATTTAACTGAAAAAACATAGGTATTATCTGAGTATGAATGCACTATTTAACAGAAGCTAATAGTGGGCTTCACAGTTTGAGTTTATTTTACATATAAGGCAAAACCCCATATCGTCAATACTCTACCTAGCTCCTCCTAGCTCATTCCTGCTGTAATTCAGCCTCCAGAAGGGTTGAGACCTAAAGCACCCTTGTTCTCTGAACTCTTTTGTGTTTATTGTCAGTCAACCAGGTGAAGCTGAATCCCACCTGAGGGCCAAGGCCACATGTGCCCTTTACAACAGCGTAATGCCAAGTTCATTCGTTCCTGTTAAATTCATTCCAAAGAGAAAACTCATCACCTGAGCAAAGTCTTCTAAGCATTCTTAGATCTAAGGTTTAAAACAAAGAAGTTGATGAATATCCAGGAAGAAAAGAAACTTATTTTCTTACGGATTCAATCTTAAGAACACTTTGCCCTCAGGTTGCAAACGAATTTCTGGAAATAGCACTAACTATAACAAAACTCAATTTCTGTTTCCAGAGAGATAGATTCAGCCACGGTAGAGAATTTAAAAATATTTGAACCGGAGCAATGTTCCAAGGCCAGAAAGAAAATAAAGTAAGGATTATATTTCTCTTCCCTGTAATTATCTCCCCCATCCTGTCTGATCACTCGGGAGTCAAAGCTGGTGGTTTATGATTTCTGGACAAAGTAGAATCATAGGAGAGCAGATGATGATGCCGTCTAAGCAAAGTTAAGTGGATGCGCCACTAATGTCTTCAGGTGGTTATCTCATAAGAAGTCCGGGTGCACTTTAGATGGAGGTGGTTTATGCTGGCGCCTGTTATTCGCCAAATGGCTGCTACAGTTTATGTTGGATGATGTCAATATTTGGATTAGCATTTGGCTGTAGTTCTGCTTTAAGTGTATGGAACTCACGTTGAGGTTCAATTATAAAAGTGCCTGAGTTAATGAAACAATTAGAGAATGAGTTTGCATATGATTTGCATGCTTAATATACTAACACCTGAAATGTCCCCATAACCCCGGCTTCACCCCACCCATCCCCTCCTCCTGCAACCCACGGTGCCCCCAGCTCCTGCTGTGTCTGTTTAGGCTGTTGTGATAACTGCCTGGTGAGCTCGGCCAAGGTTACCTCCGCTAAATTGTGACAGGGCTAACATGAAGATCTGATGCTTGAGTTGAGTTGCCACATCAGCAGCCCTGGATCGAAGGATCTTTTGATGTCCACCAGCTCCCTTTGTATCATTCCACGGAGGTGCTTGCAAACTTCTGTTGTTTTGTTAACAGTGTTACCTGTGACTTAAGTGTACGACACCTGTTTGCTATGTTGTTGTTGCTTGGAGGGGGGGAGAGTGGGGAGGAAGGGGAAGAAAGTTAGTGGGGGAGATTAGAGAATGAGTTGCTAGATGCTGGGAGAGCTTTTAATTAAGAACACGTAGCTGCCTGTTTCCAGAGTCGTAGCAATTATCACGTAGAGGTTATTACACTCAGCCTCAAAATAATATTGAAATCCGCATAGCCTGCATTTTTTAATTTTATACTACATTTTTTTTAGAGCAAATCACAGCCAGTTGCACTGAAGACTGGAGAAGTAATAAAGATCCAGATGTTTGAGAAAAAAGGAAGAGAAAGATTAAAATAGGAAGCAGAGGAAAACTTAATCCTGAACCTAATTGTGGTCCTTGTTTTTACGTAATAAACATTCATATAACGATAAAGAGAAAATTCAAGAATGAATCAGGGGTGGATCATAAAACAGACCAAAAAATGCTAAAATAGATATCCCAGGTAGAGTCCTAACAGTATCCACAGACGGATAGAAGAACACGCCATCTACACGTAAACCAGCACCTGGAAGAAAGCTGGCTCTCGGGGTAGCTCAGACCAGAGCCCGAGGGGAGGGGGGGTTCTAGCTGGTCACACGCTCCAGTGAGAAGCCAGGGAAAGAGCATGAGGCTGAGTTTGCTCTTCCTGGGCCTGGGGTGACCCACCTCCAAGGGAAAAGCTTCAGATTCTCTGTCTCTATGAAAAGGCCTGTGCATTCCTGAGGGACTCTAGAATTTTCTTCTGTTTTTTCAAAGCCACTTAGAAACCCCTAGAAGGCAGAGCCTGTGCCTGACACTTTCCAGCATGGTCTGTGACCTTACAGGCAGCCTAGTGGAAGTCCGAAGTGCATGAGGGAAACTGGGATGCTGGTCTGCTTCCCCAAAGCATGCATCCTGGTTAAGCTGTTCCTTGAGAATTGTGCTTATTAACCTTTGGGGATTTCAAGGTTCTTTCAGAGAATTTAGGGAGCGCTCTGGGTTTTCTTTCTCCTACAAAACAAACACCTACGTCCAAAATTTTGCATTGTTAGCCTAGGCTCCTTGAAAATCCTGCTTAAGGAATCCCACGTTTGCTAGGACTTCTGTGGAAGTTGGTCTCTAGCCAAGGTTTGGCTTGGTTTGGGAGCTCATGAGACCTTTTTATATTCTTTCGACTCCTAAGAAAGGTAATCTCTCATAATCCTATAAGACCAGCCAGATTCAGGTTAGAAAGAGTGGCTTTGGACATCTGCCCACTGTCTAGTTTTATTTATGTCTGTTTGAGAACAAAGAACTGAATTTTGAAAATTCGGAAAAGAGTAAAAGGATCTCCAGTGTGTAATATCTAAATCAGACTAGAGTCCGGGAAAGAGCTGCCAGCACAGGCCTCTGACGTTATAGGTCCCCCTCTAAACCTTTATACAGGCAGACCTCGGAAGATTGCCCTTCGCTTTATCGAGTTTCATGGAAGTCGTGTTTTTTTACAAATGGAAGGCAAGCCCCTCCGCTGCAAAAAGATTATGACTCTCTTTACGATAATACTCGATTGCAGTGGTCTGGGGTCACCTGCAGCACCTCCGAGGTATGCCTGTAGCAATAAAACAGTTTGAGGCGAACCTCATGGAAAATGGTCAATAAAATAATGGACCTGCCTTAGTGGGCATATGTGTTATGTGATATCCCACCCTATGCGAATATGCTTGTATTTGTGACTCAGGATCCTCAAGTACATGCATATGCATATATGACCAAACATGGTATTTTAATGTTTAGTCTCCATCTGTGTTCAGGTTTTCTGAAGAAGATAGCTGAGTACATCCCAAACAATCGCAGTGGCATTACATCAGTGCAAATGAATTCAGGAGGGGAGTTAGTCATGCATTGGTAAATCTTTCTTCTAAAATGTTGTTTAGTATCACACAGTACCTTTTCTCCAGAGATAAAATTATTCAAAGGACATGGTACATGTCGTATTTGGGAATGGAAATTTATGGAACCGAGTACTCTGCACATAAAAGCAGTTCAAGCTAAAAATTTCAAACAGTCAAGTTTAAAAATCAGAAAATTCTTTCAAAGACTGGGTGTTCTTTTTTCCTGTAACAGAAAAATATGAATTAGTAAATCGTTTATTCATATCTTAAGTATCTTTATTTTTAAATTACTTTACAGAATCATTCTAAAAACAGAAGAACTCAACTTCTTTCACACCTCAAAAATTAACTCAGCTAACACATATAAAACCATAATGATCAGGAAAAGTCCTTATGTACATATAATACACGCAGATGTATGTGCACATGTGCAGCACACGTGTTTAAGATGACCTCAGGCCAGCTGGAGGGAATGAATTTTGCCTGCTGCTCATGTTACCTCTAGAATAAATGTGATTTTCAGACAGGAGACTGGGGGGAACCTTCCATCACCTTGCGACCTCCAAATGAAGCTACAGCCTCAACTCCAGTCCAATACTGGCAACACCACCCAGAGAAGCTCATCTTCCAGTCGTGTGATTACAAAGCTTTTGTAAGTTACCTTGATTTCAGCATTTGGGTATGCGTAGGGATAGAGGGTAGATTTCTGGCTTCTTTACTTTTATATTGAAAATATACCAAAATGTCTATCTTACTAAAATGTTTCCCTGTCTTTTGGTTTTTTAAAGTAGCCCTCTCTCCGCAGAGGAAGTCCAAAAAAATAGAGCTTTATGACCCTTTTAATGTTATGTGCTTAAGATCTGTTTACCCTTTTTATATAGTTGTCTATTTTAAATGCAATGTCATAAAATCAAATCTTAACATGGAAATGAGTATAAATATAGCACATAGAGACATCTCCATTCACCAGCGGTCTCAAAACACTGGGCCTACCCCCTTGTAAAAATTCCAGACTCTCTTCATCATTATCGGTAGGATTATATTACTAGGTATTTTTTTAATAGGAGAGGGAGTCGGGCTTAGCAGAGAATTGTGAGTAATCTAAACAGATAAATGATCAAAAGATACCATAGGCGTGGGGGGCAAGGTGGTTGTCATGGCTACAGCAGGAAAAGGAGCTGAACCCTCGGAGGTGCGTTGAAACTGCTCTCAAGTGTTTCAATTAGGACAAACTTTCCCGATACCTTAAAAGATAAGGGTTTCGCCAGGATCGTTTTCCTTAATTAAGATGTGGGCGTTCTGGTTGTCTCACAGCAGGTTGGGCGTTTTTGTCACTCTGTGTGATCTGCGCCTCCTTCACTGCTTGCTTATCTCAAAGCATGCGCTCCCGTTTCCATAGCCATCCCCCCGAACCTGGAGGACTGAAATGCCCCCTTTCCCTCCAAAGTTCAAACGCCGCACCCCGAGGCCTGGACGGGCCTTTCCGAGGGCCCTGGGCCGCGCCCTCTGCCGCTGTGCCCCTGCCCACCCTCTCCTCGTTGGGGACTCCAATACAGAACTGGTTGCCAACCCTGTTTTTTCAGAGTGCCGGGGAGGGACTCCTCAGTCACATCAGGGACAGGATTCTCTTAATTCACTTTACCACACATAGAGCTCTTTTTATTTTTATTTTAAGGAAATTCGAGAAGGAAAGATGACAGATGGAAAGCACCCTACCGAAGCTTCAGAAAGTTGAGGAGGAGTCCCTTGAGAGGAAGGCAAAATAGATATTTTGCTAAAAACCGTTTGCCCCAGCCTGGAGCGTGAGCGGCGTTTTGTACTAAGGCAGGATGGATCCCATCACCTAGCAGCCACGTGGTGGCTGATTCCTGGAGAAGTCCCCCAGCCTGCTTTGTACCCCATTCAGCCCCCGCTGTCCGTTTGCACCAGGGACTCGGCCCCCTCCACTGTGGGACAAGTGAGATGACACTGTCCCTCCGCTTCTCAGGGCCATCAGCCCTCAGGGGCACACGGCTGGGAAGGGGAAGGTCCAAAAGGGCTCTGGGCCGCGGGGCAGCCTGGTGTTGATCATCTGTGCGGCCCGGGGTGCCTGGTGCCCGGCTTCTCAGCTGCCTCACAGCCCTGTCATTACAGAGACGCCAGTGAGATTTATTTTTGCAGACGTCGCTGCCTCAAAAAAAAAACAGCGACAGGGAAAACATTTTTAGATGCCCCCATTTTGCAGTTCGATATGATTGGAAAGATGGAGCCTTTAGAAAAGGCTGCAGTCTTGTTATCAAGAGCAATTTACAGCTTTCAGAGCTGCGGTTCCCTCTGCTGTGTCCTCGCTGCAGAAGCATTTGTTTGTCAGGACTAGTTGCCGGTCCTTCTGGAACGTTGTGCGCCAGCTTACCAGCCAGGAAACCAGCTCACCCAGCCGGTGGTACTTCCACGGGTGGTTTTGAACGCGATGCTCGTATTTGTACTTATAAATCGTTGCATTTTTTTTGTATTTTAGTATTTAGGTTCTATGCTGATAAAAGAGCTCAGGGGGACGGAATCAACCCAAGATGCTTGTGCAAAAATGCGGGTAAGTTTGCCAAACAATTTTATTTGTAGTCGCTGAGAGACTAAATACTGGGTGTGGGTACAAATTGCCGCTTTTCACGTTACGGTTTTTCGGCGTGTTGGCCTGCTGAGCCGCGCTGGTGGCACACGGGGCGGGCTTTGGGCTGTGTTCATGGTTATGCTTGAGCTGGTATCTTTTTTATGTATTTATACATATTACATTACTCTTATTTTTAAAGATCGAAAATGAACTGTATATACATGGGTCGTTCTCCAAATTAGGAGGAAAATTATCTTTAGTTTACTACAAGAAAATGTTTCCAGCACCCACTTGGCATTCTAGATACCGAATCTTCCTTAAAAGGAAGCCAATTAACTAAAATTTATCAAATGCAGAAGTACTGAGAGCATGTTATATAAAGCTGACATTCTTTATGAGGCTTCTTAATTATTCTTGTTTTAGTATAAGCAGCACATTCAACACTGAGTTGAACCATATAACAGTGACTGTGGACAGAAATGGCCATTCCAAGCACCCGTGCTGGTCGCTGCTGGATTCCTCGGAGTCTGTATTAGCCAAGCCAGACCTCGGACTGCAGAACCACACTCGCTTTTCCTTTCATGTGTCCCTTAGTCTTGCTACCTCCAGAGCAGATGTATAGGGGTTATAGCAACATCTTACTGACAGCACAAATTAAGAATATTGGACTTAATCCACGTAGCAACTAACCAGAGTCAACTTTAACATCGTTAGCGAGCGAACCCTAACTTTTATTTGTGGCCAGTCACCTCGTCATTTATTTTATATGAGCAGCTTCTGGTGGGAGATATTTAAAAGCATGTAATTGAACTAAAACNACCTCGTCATTTATTTTATATGAGCAGCTTCTGGTGGGAGATATTTAAAAACATGTAATTGAACTAAAACAGTTAGGAAGGTAAACATGTAACATTTGCTCATGGAAAGCTAAATGTGTGCGATTCTTCATGAAGTTGCGACCTCAGCGTGGGATTGCCGATTTAAGATGATGGCCAGTTCAATAGCAGGCAGCCCCAAACAGTTTTCTTTCTATTTGATGTAGAGTTATACATAAATTCTCAGCACCAGTGAGTTTTTATTCTAGGTACTGTGTTTATAAAAAAAAAAAAAAAGCTCTGATTTGTTTCAGGAACTCTAATCTAGTTCTGTGGCTGCTGATGTGGCTCAGGAGTCTCTCTTTAGTTATTATAACTGCTAACGTTTACTGAGTGCCCATCTTTGTGCTGAGTCCTGTGCATGTTCATCTATTTCATCTTCACCACACACCCGTGAGATTAACATGACTATTATCCCCATTATACAGGTGAAGAAACTGAGGCTTAGAGAGGTTAAATAGCTGCCCCCAGGTCACACAGTGAATAATTTGCCAGTCTGGAACTGGAACGCTGATCTGACACCAGAGCCCAAGCGTTGGCGACATTGCCCGGCTTCTCCTGGGCCTCGTTTCCTACTCAGAAAATGAGAGCATTGGACGAGATGCCCTTCAGGATTCTTCTGGTTTTTATAATTCTGGAAACCCTGTATTCTAAATATACATACGATCTAAATGATGTCACCAATGCACAATAAGAAAATGGGAACGTTTTTCAATCAGCAAGCCCTGTGATGATTTTAGAGCTATTTGTGAACATACCTAAGAAGTTCATTTGGCATTTCTGATTTAGTTCTATTAACTCGACTCTCTGGGTCCAGCTACTTCGATGCTGTAATCAGCGTAAATAGTGGGAAGAGCACACAGCACCATTTACAATACAGCCGATCTGTGATTTGAATTTCAGTCAGTTTCTTGAAATTAAGTGGATCTGAAATTTCATTTTGCTAGCTATAGCAGAGCCATTTTAATAGTCTCCGCGGAAAATGATTTAGTTAAATACTCATTTGTTGCTTAAAATGAAACAGAAAAGGCCCTCTACTTACAAGCCATTCTTCTTTGGGGCCTTTTTTTCTGGTTTGCTGCTCTTGGTGTTTATTTTGAGTAGTTTACATGAAAATAGGAAGTTTATTGCTTCTTAGAATATCACAGGCCCTTATTTCCCCCATCTTGATTGAATAAGTATCAGCCTTTGATACAGGAGCTAGAGTTGCAGTCACTGTACTCGCCAGAGCCACGCAGACGGGGGAGCAGGGGTTAGATGCCATCGGGGACTGTTGGGCTGTGAATTAGAACCTCGCCGACTGAAAACGGTGTGGATCTCAACATGCAGTTCATTTTCAGTTTGAACCTCAAGTTGCTGTGTCCTCTGTTTTCCGGCAGTGCAGCTCAAAGTCCCGGTATAATCAGCCTCCCCGGGGGAAATACTTTAGGACATAGATGATCTTAAAAGTTGATATACAATAAGATCGTTAGACAAAAGTATTGTAGATTCAAACTTTACCTGGTTTACTCTCTTAATGGAAAAAGGAAGTTTTCAATTCAGCTGTCTGCATTTTAGCTGAAATTAAAATTTCTTTTCCAGGAAGAAATAAATCAGTGTGGTTCCTTACTCTAAGAAATATTTTCTTATGTGCAGTTTGGTGACAAAGATAACTAAGATGTGGCTCCTGTTCTCACTGAGTTTACAGCCCAGGGAAGGAGTCTGACATGTTAACGTTTCATTACCCCAAAGGAGCAGAAGTATTACCATAGAGGTATCTTCATGTTGACATCAACCTGAGAGATTGGCACCAATGATCCCAAAAATGGCATACAGGCGTGGTCTCATAAAATCATTTTATTAGGACTGATAACAGGTAACACTTGAGAACTGTGTGCCATGTCCTACATGAATGATTATATGCATTAATGCATTTACTCATGAGGTAAAGTATTGCTATTGTCCCCACTTTACATATGGAGAAACAAAGGCCAAGGAGAGTTAAGTACTTTGCCCAGCATCACCCAGCCAACAAGTGGTGGAACCAGGGTTTGAACCTAGACAGTCTAACTCCACCACCCACACTCCGAACCCAGGCCGTACCAGCTCTCTAGTGAGCCAGTACAACAACGTTTATTGTCCTGTGTTTTAAAATAGTTGAAAAGATCATTTATGTTGATAAAGAAATAGCTTGCCCTGGCCAGTGTGGCTCGTTGGTTGTGTGCCATCCCATGCACTGAGAGGTTACTGGTTCAACTCTCAGTCAGGGAACATACCCAGGTTTCTGTTTCAACCCCAATCGATGTTTTTCCCTTTCTCTCTCCCTCTCTCTCCCTTTCTCTCTCTAAAATCAATAAAAACATGTTTTTAAAAAAAAGAAATAGCTTTAGAAACCCTCAAAGGACCTATAAGATTAGCACTGGCTAAATTAAGCCATTTAGGTACAGACATATGTAGTAATTTGGGCTATATTCCAATGTGTTAACATAAATAAAAACTTCAGGAGAGTTTTTTATTGCATCCGTAGAGACTGGAAAATGTTTCTTTCTGCAACAGTTAACTTTAATACATTCACTTTGCCCCAGCAGAAACTAAACACGGTTTTCTCAGAATCATTTGGAGTGTTTGGTAATCACAATTGGTTAATTTCTAAGTGTATCTAAACCTGTTTACTCATCCTTAAGGTCCCCTTCAATTCTGAAATGAAGGTAATTCTGCACTAATCTTCCTGGTGTTTTATTATGCACATATTATTTCAATTAAAAATATGCCATAATACGCTAACATTTGTGAGATGATAGTAATTCACATCATTCCATAATATGGAATCACTTCTCTGTTCATTCAGGTTAACCAGTCTTTTTCCTCCTTAGACAGTCTTAAGATTTTTTTTAATAGAGTTTTATTTTTTTGAGCAGTTTTAGGTTAACAGAAAATTTGAGCATAAAGCACAGAGAGTTCTCATGTATGCACTCCCGCCACCCCACCCCCCTTGCAGTTGCCCTCATTATGGACATCTTGCATTGGCGCGGGGCATTTGTCACAGTTATGAACCAATATTGAGACGCTGTTATTAACTAAAGTCTATGGTTGACCTTTGAGTTCACGCTTTATGCTATACAGTGTTTGGGTATTGCATACACGCCTAATGCCATGTATCCACCATTACAATATCATAGAGAAAGTTTCACACCCTAAAAATGCCCTGTGCTCCCCCCTCCATTTACCTCTTTTCTCCCCTGCCCTCCTAGCCCCTGGCAACCACTGACCTTTTTACTGTCTCTGTAGTTTTGCCATTTCCAGAATCTCATACAGTTGGAATCGTACAGTATGGTCCCTCTTCAGACTGGCTTCTTTCACTTAGCAGTGTGCACTTCAGGTTCCTCCATGTCTTCTGTGGTTTGATCGCTCATTTTTTTTTTTAATCACTGAATAATATTCATTGTATGGATGTACCACAGTTTGTCCATTAACTTATTGAAGGCCATCTCAGGGGCTTCTGGGTCTTGGCGATTATGAATAGAATGGCTGTAAACATTTACATGCAGGTTTTCATCTTAAGATTTTTTCCCCCCCTGAATTCAAACCCTAAATAATTCTCCTCTTAAAATTATCTTCTGAATTGTGTCAAGTGAAGAAGAACCCGTAGGAACTTGCGTTAAACCCTGATGATTTTTTTACATACGATGCAATGTTTGCCTTGTCTTTTAGAGTTTTCTTTAAGGAAAGCCTAAAAGATTGGATGTGCCTTGATATTGAGGCACACTTTTAGGAAGGATGATTTCTATGAATTGTATATTTTGCTCCTTAGTAGTGCAACTTGGCTGCTTCTTTCCTTTACCATGACAGCTTTGAAGACATTTCCATGTAAAAATAAAATCTAAAAACATTTATAAGTAATGTGTGAGGAGTTGTAAAAAATATTTATTTAATCCGAACATAGTTGTTGAGTGATGCCTTTATGTTTGTTACTGGCTGGGTTTCCCAGCGAACTCGGTGCTTAGAGACAGTCTTTCCTCTCTCCTTAGAAGAGACTCAAAACTAAAGTGGTGTTTAGTTCTTCTGTTTCTTATACAAATCCCTCAAATTCCTTCAATGAGAAATTGTCATTTTTAGGAATAATTTTAG